AACAGATAATAAGACCAAACGGCAATGCACATACCTTCTGGCTCATTTAAATAGCGCGCCCTGCGCTGTCATTGGTCCCATGCGCGTGTCTGCGATCGCAAGTGCGCATGCGCGGCCGTCGCTGTTGCCGCGATCGCCCAGGTCCCGCCGCTCGCTGGCTAGAGCACGTCAGAGCTCTGCGCATGCGCCGCATCACTGCAGAACACTGGATCCCTGACAGGATTATATAGAGCAAGTATTACAGACGACGGGGCTTGGTTCGCATTTGCTGACCTTTATAATATCTCTCTACGCCTCTCCTTCGGCAAGAGTTAGAGTAAATGCCACACTGTCAGACGCTTTCCCTATCCGTAATGGTACCAGACAGGGATGCCCACTCTCCCCTATCCTTTTTTTCCTGACGCTGGAATCTTTTCTTCACTGTCTCAGACACAACCAACCATGATATCAAAAGGTCTTCTGCAGGTAAGGAGTATAAATTAGCAGCATTTGCAGATGACATTCTGCTTTTTTTTATCAGCTCTGCAGGTAAGGAGTATAAATTAGCAGCATTTGCCGATGACATTCTGCTTTTTTTTTTATCAGCCCCCCAACACTACTCTTCCAGTCCTCCAAGCATAATTTTGTCACTTCCAATCCTTATCCAATCTCAAAATCAACTTTTCGAAGTCTTATGCCCTCAATGTGACCCTCTCTTCTACAGATGTAATCCGCTGTCAGTGAAACGTTCCCTTTTTATGGAAACAGGACGCCATCACTTATTTAGGCATTCAGCTCCCTAAGAACCTACGAGACCTCTACAGTAAGAATTATCTACCTATCCTGCGAGAGTTAACGAATGATTTCAAACGATGGAACAAGCCTATCTTTTCCTAGTTCGGCAGAGTTGATTTCCTCAAAATGAATGCTTTCCCGCGACTCCTCTACCTATTACAAACTACTATACCCATCCACCTACCTCACAATTTCTTACTCTCTTATAGGAGCCTCTGCTCCAATTTCCTGTGGAACAATCACAGACCACGAATTAGTTACACTAGACTGGCGCTTCCCAGGCACAAAGGGGGAATAGGCCTACCCGACATCCACAATTACCTCCAGGCATGCCATCTCTCCAGGATAGTAGACTGGAACACTCATGACACTGTTAAAGGCTGTGTCTCTCTCGAGGCTTCTTTCTTACCCATGCCTCTTGCTTCTATGCTTTGGTTGCACGTTCAAGACCCACCCTTTAATTTACCCAACCCTTCGAACAGGGGTGGACTGACCATTTGGAAACTCAGGCACTGCCCGAGGGCCCAGGGTCAGTAGGGGGCCCCATGAAATGACCCTGGTACCTTTTTCATAGGCTTTTTTGAGTTTGGGCAAGGACACAGGGGCCTCATGATCCCCTATTTCCCGGGGGCCCCATGAGTTGTCAGTCCGCGCCTGCCTTCGCATCTTTAGTACTATTTGCAAAAGTTCCAAATCGATTTCATCAGTCCCAGGGTCTCTTACCCCTCTACGTCAAAACCCCGATTTTCCACCAGGCTTACACCCGCGATTCCTCAAGGACCATTGGCCTTTCAAAAAGATGAAAGCCCACCAATTCTTTAACAGAAACACAATGCTTTCCAGGGAACAGATAGACTCCAACCTAGGAACAAACCCTATACCACCATGGCCATACCTGCCTGTACAACATTACCTACACTCACTTGATAAAAACCGACAGGTGTCTAGACTTCTGTCCCCATTTGAGAAATTGTGCTCTAAACAATCGCCTCAAAGTCATCTAATCTCCACCATCCACTCTCAACTGAGTTCTGACGACCGTTCTAACAGTGGCACAGCTTGCGTGGCATGGGAAAGAGACCTCTCAATTTCTTTCACTCAAAATGACTGGGAACGCATTCATCTGAACACACTCAAAGGCTTGGTAAATGTAGCCACCCAAGAAAATGGTTTACAAAATTCAATCCCGTTGGTATCGCACCCCTGCTCTTCTCCATAAATTTAACCCAGATACCCCTGACACTTGTTGGAGATGTGAGAAGGAGGAGGGAACCCTTCTACATATCTGGTGGACATGTCCTAGAATTAAACACTACTGGTCTGAAATACACCAAATTATTCAACGCGTAACTACCTACACTTTAGATTTTACGCCCGCTCAGTTCTTACTGCACCATTCCTCTCTCCCCCAGTCGACCTATTTTATGTCTCTAGCCATGCACATGGTTAACGCAGCTAAACAATGTCTTCCAGTTCACTGGGGGTCTCCAGAACCTCCGACTATAAGAGAATGGCTAATGCACATACGTAAAATAGCGGAAATGGAAGAACTCATTTTTATTGCCCGAGACTCTCCTGCCAAATTTGCTTGTAAATGGGCTTGTTGGACACATTTCCAGACAACTGAAGAATTCACTCTATTGATTGACAAACCTTCGCCCCAATAAAGACATTATAGCCTACCTATAAGACCACGTGTATATACCTGGGTCTCTTCAGGCTACTCTTCTCTGAGGAAGGGATTGAACGTTGGGATACTATCTGGTTGCGCTCCTTCCCCTTCACCTCACGGCCTTCTATGGTGTGGGGGGGAGGGGGGTGTGATGCTTCGGCGTCCGGCGGAGAGGGTGAGAGACACATGCTACCCCCCTCTGTCATCCTTCCTCGATAACTTAAGTTACGTTTTGTAGCACTCACCTCCCCCCCCCGCCTTCCCTACTCTTCCCTCCCTCCTCTCTCTCTCCTCAACATTTTTTTTCTCTCTCTCTTTTCCCTTTCTTTTGCTGGGACGGTGCTTCCGGCATGCTAACCTGAACATTTTCATACCTGACCTAGAATCACATTATCAATACCTCACTGTAATTTCTCCACATCCACCGTTCTCAAAAATGTTCTCTAATGTCAATGATTCCTTGTTCTGGTCTACCATGAATCTACGCACGATATTAACAATAGGTTCTTATGACCATAGTTACTCAAAACCTGTTTATTTTTTGTCCTTCTAGATTCACATCCTCCTCTTAGTTCTCCAAGTTGTTGTTTGGTGTCTGCCCCCTCATTCTTCTGTGTTCAACTTCCATGCCAAGTTTTTTGTTTCCTCTCTTTTTGTCTGACTTACTCTAGTTATAAGGCTAGATGCTTCTAGCAAACTTTTGTATCAATACAACCCATGCTTTTGTCTATGTTCATGTTTTTCGATACTCAATAAATCTTTATTGGAAAAAAAAACATTTTCATTGGATTTTATTTACAGAATGCCAATTATAAAAGGTAATGTAACTGTCCACAAATTTAATTACCTTTTAAACATTTCAAAATGAACCCACAAAATACCTAACCCTGATATGCCTAGTAAGTAAATTTATTGTTAATGCATTCTCTGCAAGGTAAAAAAAAACACGCCCCTCAAACTGATCCATCCCCCCCCCATACATACATACACAAATTAAAAATGTAGGGTAGGCATACCTTGCAAAGCCTTTGGATATGCTGTAGGCGAAAGCAGACAAACCAGGGGCTGTCCAAATAGATTGGTGAAATTCTGCAACAAAAAGGCCAATAGAATCAATCCAGGGCATAACTTCATTAGTCTTACAAAATATTCCTAACAAGAAATAATGGTAGAACAGTACAAAATGTAGGTAAAATATAGCATAAGATAGTTTTTGATTTTTGGCGGTTTGGTTTGAACAACAAACAAACCAGCCCTTGTGTAGTTACATTCTTGCAGCACAGGTTTTTCAACTTAATGCATTAAAGAAAAAACCTTCAAGCTTTACAGTAGAACCACTTGAAAGTCTCTACAAAAAAATATATTTTCATACATTTTTCCTTTTTCCAGTAGTTCATGCGGAAGACAACTGAGGTTGGAGCATTATATTTCTCTCTACATCCAGGTACAGTATATTCTATGCTCTACTTCTAGGAGGTGAGACTCTAGGCAAATAAAAAGGCACAGCTTCTAGCGGCTATGCCCCCTACACATATTAGGTTTGCAAGCAATTACAAAAGGTGAAAGTAAAAACAACAAATCCCTAATAAAATACCTTCTTAACTGAAAAACATTCTCAACAAACGGCATAATACACAGAAGTGAGGGGATATACAGTATGTCTACCATTGAAACTAGCAACACTTTTTTTTACAGTGAAAACAATAAGTCATGTTTTGGCAATGCTTTCTTGTGGGACAGATGTTTAAAAATAGATAAGTCATAGGAGCTGATTATGCCTTCCGTGTCATGAAATCCTGCTGGAATCAGCCATCTGAAAATCTTTATGCCTATAAAACTGTCATCAGCCAGGGACAAAAAATCCAAATGATTGAACTTGAAAACCTTGTGATCTGAGAACCAGATGGAGTTGGAAAGGGTCTGATATATTACCTGGCGAATCCAATGTGCAACAGCGGTTTGTTTTGCAAATGTGTGCAACAAAACCCTCTGTTTTACTGTGAATTGTTATACAGGGTTAATTTGGTTTGTTTGCAGGCTAGTTAGTGTGGTGGTAATTTTTTGTTTTGTGCCTTGCCCTTCCATGTGTACCCCTCTGCAAAAGCTATTTATAAATTGGGGTGGTTGCCCTCTTTTTTTTTTTAGCTTGTTTGCTGAAATGGTGTGAGAATACATTTGATACCTTCAGCTGCCATTGTGGCCTTGCTGGGCATCAAATGTATCTTTGTGTCTTTAACAGGGGCGGACTGACCATTTGGAAACTCGGCACTGCCCGTGGGCCCGGGGTCAGTAGGGGGCCCTATGAGATGCCCCTGGTACCTTTTTCATAGGCTTTTTTTGAGTTTGAGCAAGGACATAGGGGCCCCATGATCCCTTATTGCCCGGGGGCCCCATGAGTTGTCAGTCCGCCCCTGGTCTTTAACCGCCTCCCGCCCGCTATATAGTACAATGACGGGCGCAAGGCAATTCTCTTGTTCTGGGAGGACGTCATATGACATCCTCCCATTCTAAACGCGCATGTGCGGCTCCGGGAGCACACAGCGCGGCGATCGGCGGTGCGCTGTGTCCCTCTGACACAGCTGATCACCGATCAATGGAAAGAGCCGAAGATGTTTGCTTGGTCATGTGATCAGCGGTGTCCAATCACAGCTACCGGTTATTGGCATTTCTTTTCTCACGAGCTGTCACGCTGATAGCTCGAGAGGAGAGCCGGTAATCAGCATCCCTCAGAAGGGACATGTACAGTGTGCCCTGATGATCTGTGTAGTCCCAGCAGTGCCACCTGTCAGTGCTCATCCATGCCACCTGCCAGTGCCCATCAGTGCCAAATCAATGCCACATTTCAGTGCCTACCATTGCACATCAATGCCACATATCAGTGCGCCTTTGAGCTGCCTTTCAGTGTAACCCATCAGTGCCACCTATCAATGCCAGTCAGTGCCACCTATCAGTGCCACCTATCAGTGCCAGTCAGTGCCACCTATCAGTGTGCATCAGTGCCCGTCAGTGCCACCTAACAGTGCCAGTCAGTGCCACCTATGAGTGCCGCCTGTCAGTGCCATATATAAGTGCTGCCTTTCAGTGCCCATCAGTGATGCCTGTCAATGCCCATCAGTGCCACCTACCAGTGCCTCCTCATCAGTGCCACCTATCAGTGTCCATCAGTGCAGCCTATCAGTGCCCATCACTGCAGCCTCATTAGCGCACACCAGTGAAGGAGAAAATTCACTTATTTACAAAATTATATAACAAAAACTAAGAAAAAAACATTTTTTTAAAAAAAAAATTTCAGTGGTTTTTGGTTTGTTTAAGAATAAATGAAAAACCCAGAGGTGATTAAATACCACCAAAATAAAGCTCTGTCACAAAAAAATGATTAAAATTTCATATGGGTACAGTGTTGCATGACTGCGCAATTGTCATTCAAAGTGCAACAGCGCGGAGAGCTGGAAATTGGCCTGGGCAGGAAGGGGGTATAAGTGCCCTGTAGGCTAGTGGTTAAAGAGAGTTGGCTCCCTCCAGGCAAACCTGCTCTAAATTTATCCACTGCTATATATGCTGCAACTTGGAGACTCAAAATTATAGAGTTGGGGGGCATGGCTAACTGGTGTCCAGGACAGCTGTTCTTTAACAGAGCTCTGTCTCAGCAGCCTACTTAGCAGAATCTTAGAGACTCTTACTTCCTTTGGTACACACAGCCTTCTCTACAATCCTCCGCCATGCCATAAAGGGATAATCCATGGTCTGTGCTGTCTAAACTCATGGACTTCTCTGTTGTTGCGGACCGAGAAAGCCAAAATGGCAGTTGCACCGGCCGACTCTCTACACCGCTAGAATATGCCTTCTCCTCTGATGGCAGCTTCTCCTCCTCTTCCACGTGTACTGAGATCTGCCTTTCTTCTGCTTCCCAGGGTGAGTTATCTCTGATAGCCCATCTAATAGCAGACCCATGAAAGCTAAGAAGACAAAACAGGGGGTGACTCACACAGACACAGAGGAGCTGCAGCAAAGATCTTTCTAATCCATGCCAGAAAGACAAATAGACCGCTCCAGGTGAGTGCTGAAGATATAGAGCTCCTCTACATGCACAGCGGTGCTGGCCCGATCCGTGATCGCAGGTACAATACCAGGACACAAAGGTTGACCGCACTGGCAACGATGTAGCAGATAAAACCCTTTATTGGAATCCTTCACAAACAGTATGATAAGAACATCACAGCTCCAAGATTTGGAGTTCTAACACAAACCGCTAGACAACTCGACATAAGCATGTCCTTATTACTCACATATTTACAGTATGGCCACAAAGCAAACAATACCAAAGTCATGGACGTCACCCACACTTGGCTTCAATGAGGTCAAGAGCTCCGTAAATGGCAAGCACATAAAATAAAAAATTCTCAGCAATCCTTACTGAGGCTCACGACAAGTTTATCCCTACCTAAAACCAATTCCCTTTTCTTTTCAACTGACCGTTCACTTTTTGGAACGGTAGGATACCAACTACAATCCCTATTTTGGCTGGTATGCACCTCTGGGGCATCCCACCCCCCCTATATTTTGCCTTTCTGTTACACTTTGTTCTCCCATTCTTACCCTGTCCCACCCCTTCTCTTTCTTCCCAGTCTGCAGCCCCTTCCTAATTCTTTGCTCACGTACAAAGGCAAGATTACACTATTATGTGACCTCTATCTACGAATACCCGTACTAAAACAGTTTTGAGCAACTTCACCTTTGACTGATTGTATACCTTAGGCTCTCCTTGTGACATTCCTTCGCTCACATTACGGAAATGTTACCTTTGATTTGTAGTGCAAAACCCTTATTGTTCTAGGGGCTGTTGTTTACTATTTCTTGTATGAGGGTTTATTTGCACTGTAACCTAGAGACACCTCCTTAAGTTGCTGCTCATATGTCCAATACATTGGAGTGCTGCATTTCCATACTGCTGCCTTTATATGCCTTATGAATCTGCATGCTTCGCTCTTGTTCTTTATTTAACCACTTCTCGTCTACCCAATAGCAGATATACTGCTACATGGCGGCATGGGTGCGCAAAATCATGTATATACACACGTGATTTTGCATTTCTGTGTAGGAGGGCGCGTGCGCCGTATCCGCACCGACATTCATAGCCGTTAATCACCAGGTCCCAGCTGGTTATTACTCGCTGGTGCCAGTTGATTGCCGAGCATCTCTGACAGGGGGGAGAACTGGGGGGATATGATCAACATGTATAAATACATCAGCGGTTCATATAGTGAACTCTGTGTAGAGCTATTCACCCTGAGGTCATCACAGAGGACAAGGGGGCACGCTTTACGTCTGGAGGAAAAGAAATTTAATCTCCAAACACGAAAAGGTTTCTTCACAGTGAGAGTTGTGAAAATGTGCAATAGACTCCCTCAAGAGTTGGTACTGGCCAGCTCAGTGGATTGCTTTAACCACTTACCTACAGGGCACTTATACCCCCTTCCTGCCCAGGCCAATTTCCAGCTCTCAGTGCTGTCACACTTTGAATGACAACTGTGCGGTCATGCAATACTGTACCCTATATGAATTTTTTTTGTTATAAAATTTAGTAAATAAGTGATATTTCTCCTTCACTGATGTGCGCTAATGAGGCTGTAGTGGTGGGCACTGATAAGATGCACTGATGGACACTGATAGGTGGCACTGATGGGTACTGGTAGGTGGCACTGATGGGCATTGACAGGCATCCCTAATGGGCACTGAAAGGCAGCACTGATATATGGCACTGATAGGCGGCACTGACTGGTACTGATAGGTGGCACTGACTGGCACTGTTAGGCGGCACTGAAGGGCAGCTCAGATTGGCACTGATATGTGGCACTGGTGGGCACTGGCAAGTGGCACTGTTCAGCACTGACAGCTGGCACTGATGGACACTGACAGGTAGCACTTCTGGGGCCACACTGATCATCAGTGCCCTGATGATCAGTGTACATGTCCTCTCCGCGGAATGCCGATTACCGGCTCTCCTCTCCTCTCAGCGTGACAGCTCGAGAGGAGAGAAATGCCGATAACCGGCATTTCCCTGTTTACATGTGATCAGCTGTGATTGGACACAGCTGATCACATGACCAAGCTGACATCTTTCGCTCTTTCTGTGGATCGGTGATCCGCTGTGTCCGAGGGCCACAGAGCACCGCCGATTGCCGATTGTGCCCGTCATTGGACTATATTTTTATTTTTTTTAGCAAAGACATGCAGCAGCATACATTTTGGGCTAAATTTATGATGAAATTTGATTTTTTTACATTTTTTTTACTGGACATGTTTAGTAGCAAAAAGTCAAAAATATTTTTTCAAAATTTTTGGTCTTTTGTTTTTTTACTTTATGCACTATAAAAAAAAACATAACAAAAAAAAACAAAAAACACACAGGCAATCAAATGCCACCAAACGAAAGCTCAATTTGTGAGAAAAAGGATGTAAATTTAATTTGGGTGCAGCGTTGCATGACCGCGCAATTTTCAGTTACGCAGCGCCGTAACGCAAAAAATGGCCTGGGGGGGGGGGGGGGGGGGGGGGGGTTAGTGGGTGAAAATAAAATAAAGTGTAGCACTAGTGTATTGAAGTTTCCTGGATGATGGCACATCCTCTTGATAAAGTATCTACGATAATATATTTAAGTACAGAGCACATTATTAATATTATTAGTAATTAGTATTACTCCACTTTATTTATTACAGGTACTTATATAGCGCCAATCTACAATCGCAACATACGCAGCACATACATACATATATATATATATATTATATATATATTGTACATTCACATCAGTCGCTAGCCCTCAATCGAGGGTCCCAAACTCACATTCATACATACACATACAAGGGCCAATTTAGACAGGAGCCAATTAACTGGCCAGCATATCTTTGGAGTGTGGGAGAAAACCAGACTACAGGAAACCCATGTAAGAACAGGGAGAACATGCAAACTCCAGGCAGGTGGTACCATGGTAAGGATTCAAACCAACGACCCTAGTGCTGAAGGAATAAGGAATGCTGAAGGAATAAAGTTTTTTTGCAATAGACTTCTATTATATCCTGCTGGTGTGGTGCATTCTGAACCAGGAGTTTTGGTGTGCTTTCAGAAAGTGCACCAAACTTGTAGGATAGATTAGAAATCTACGGTTAAGCGCAGGAAAGCTGCAAGTACAGTGCACTGCACCTGCGGTGTGAGTAAACCGCAGCATATCAACGTGAAAGAAGCCCTGTACTATTATGCCCAGTGAACTGCTTCACACTGACCTGAACTTTTCTGCTTTCCTGCAGCTGGCATGGAGTGCAGTTGGTATCACTGCGCATGGGACAGGAGCCAGCACTACAGAGGAGGCATCACCTTATGCGGCTCTTGCTCCCCTACTACAGCTCCAACTTTACAAGCAGTCCCTCTGCATTGCATTCTGATGCATTGGGATGGCAGGTGAGCAAGTCCAGACTGCGATCTACCAATCAACTGGCCGCGGGCTACTGGTTGCTGACCCCAGAATTAGAATACAGTATGTGACACTCAGCCCACTAAGATTTATACATAAACATTTATTTGGAACCCTAGAGCCCCATTGCAATCAGGTCCTGGTAGGTTGGTAGGCAGGACCAGATGCCATCTTTTTCCTTTCCCATTGGAGAGATGTGGGAAGATAGAGACTTTAAAGCCTAACTTCAGGTTTTCAGTCACTTTAAATAGTTTGTTCGGGCCAAGCTGGTACAAACTATTACCTTTGATAAGGGCCCATGCACACTTTTTTCTTGTTTTTGTTACTCAACTTTATTTAAATAGTACAAGTGACACTTCATTCATGTCACTGTACAGCAGTGCAGTGCACTGTGCTGCTGTACAATGACATGCAATCACATTCTGTATGCTGCAATAAAATGCAGCATGTCTGCATTTCATCACAGCTCACTGCAGCGTAGCTCTGGGATACATTGCAGTGTCAATAAGACACAGCGAACAATTGTTTTTTCCATGCATGTGCTGCTACTTTTAACACAGGAACAACTCCTCCAACTATCATCATATCCTCTCTGCTCTGTTCTTTCAACACCACTGCCTTCACCCATCACTGTAACATTACACCACTGTGCATGACTGCAATGCACATCTGCCTTGCTGTAACCATCAGTAACCACTACCTCCACTCTTCTCCGAAACACTGGGCTACTTTGCATGTCTGAAATCAACTGCCTTGCTAAGACTTGGAAACTGCTGTTTACACTTGTTTGTATTGAGTTATACTTACTTTTCATGGTACTCTACTTTCATTATGTGTCTTTTATTAGCTTTTAATAGATTGTCTAACCTCCCCCTACTCCATCCAAGTATAAATTCAGTGCAACTGTTGGGATGGCTTGTGAGGGTAGGCTTGCCACTTTTTGTGCAAAATGCCTGGCACTTTAACTAAGGCAAGTACTGTGCACACATTAGTGTACAACTCCAAGTTGTCTGAAAGGTTCCCCTTCATCTTTTCTCTTTCCCTTAGCCTTGTTTTTTCCTCTCTTCATCCTCCAACATGCTTATACTAATAGTCTTCATTGCAATAATGCTCTCTCCACAAACTCTCATTTGTATGAAACCACCTCAACCCTTCCTTTATTTACTCTGCTACTAATTGTTTGTATGACACCTTCCTGTCCTGCCCAGACCTGGCCTCTTCTGTCTACAACCTATGGTCATCCTGCCTGGACACATGAACTCCTTTCTCTATACACAGAAGCAGGCCTCGGCTGCTACAACCCTGGCAAACAGACAACCCCAGAAGTCTCAAGAGACGCAGCCATTCCCACGAGCAAGCATGGCGTAAAAATAAATCCCTGCAAGACTTCACCCTCTACAGATCTGCCCCTCTCAAATACAACTCTTGCTTCCACACTGCTAAACAAACCTACTACAACCACTTTCACCAAAACCTTCTCATCCAATCCTTGTCAATTCTTTTCTACGCTTAATTCCTTACTTCACCCTTCACCCATAAATTTACTTACTGCCCAGGAGATTGCCAGTCATTTCTCCTCCCATACCACAAATTTACTGAGCAACATATCAGTATGGATGACACACCACTTCCTCAAACTCAATCTTTCCAAAACTGAGCTTTTAATATTTCGACCCCCCCCCCCCCCCCATATGGCTTTATCATGGAAATTAACAGTACAACCATTGGTCCCTGCGCACATGCCAGAGTCCTAGGTGTGATCCTAGACTCTGATATCTCCTTCGGCCCCCACATCCAGTCACTGGCTAAATCTTGCCACCTCAACCTCTAACATTTTCAGAATTCACCCGTCCTGACCACAAAACAATTTATCCACTCTTTGGTTATTTCCTGCCTTGACTACTACAACTCCTTGCTCACTATTCTACCTTTACATAGGCTATTTCCCCTTCAGTCTATTATGAATGCTGCTGCCTGGCTTATACACCTTACTAACTGATCCATGCCAAGCCCCTATCACTAGCTTTGAGCAGCCCAACATATAAAATTCAAAACACAAACCACAACGTATAAAGCCATCCACAACATTGTCCCCAGCTACATCACCAACCACATCTGCAGATATTGCCCAAATCATCCTCTCCACTCCTCACAAGACATCTTGCTGTCTAGCTCCCTTGTTAACCCCACCCATCCTCGCCTCCAGGACTCACCAAACCTCTCCCATCCTCTGGAACGCTCTACCCCACTATGTCTGGTCAGCTCATACCCTGTCTGCCTTTAGGCAATCCTTGAAAACTCACCTATTCAGGGAAGCCTAACTCACCTCCATCTAAAAAGCAGTACTTGAGCCACCTCCATCAGAACATACCCTGCAGCTATTACTTTTTGTACTATCTCCCCCTCCCTTTAGATTGAAAGCTCTATTAGAAGGGCCCTCCTATTCCTTCTTTACTGAGCTGTATTGTAATTGTATTGCCCCCCTTTATATTGTAAAATGCTGCACAAACTGTTGGCACTATATACACTCACCAGCCACTTTATTAGGTACACCTGTTTAATTGCTTGGTAACACAAATTGCTAATCAGCCAATGGTTGTTGGTACCAGACATGAACCAGCGGCAGTTGTGTGGATGGAAATGCCTTTTTGATGTCAGAGGTGAATAGGCAGACTGGTTTGAGATGATAGACAGGAAACAATAACTCAAGTCAATATGGACCAAAATCTCTGAGGAATGTTTCCAACACCTTGTTGAATCTATGCTATGAAGAATTAAGGCAGTTCTGAAGGCAAAAGGGGGTCCAACTCGTTACTAGCAAGGTGTATAGTCTAAAGTGGCCAGTGTATAATAATATTAATGTAGCATGAGCTACATAGAGTATGCAGCTCTGTGTTCCTGCAGCAGTATGGAGACTTCCTGTCTGCTGCCGAAATAAAAATCAAGTTGGGCTTGGAATACATAATTGTCTGTAATTCCAAAGTTTTTTGGATAGATAGAGCAGGGAAGTTTTGAACCCCTTGTCAGGTTTTTATTACTAGAAAAAGCTGCCAAAACTTTTGTTCCATTCCCAGGCGTGTGAGAGAACCAGCTATCTCATACTGCTGAAAGCAGTGGACAGAAAGCATTGCACTGTGCTTTATAAATATGATGTGCTCTGTTTTTTAAAACAATGTTATGGCCATTGTATGGTCATACCATTACTTTTTAAATCAGCTCCTAAAGATGACCATAGATGGATCGAAATTTGGCTGCTTCAGAAGGGAAGAATAGGGACAGAGTTGGAGATAGTTGGACACATTGGTTGAACCAGAGAATGGGGGAGGCTCTGAAAAGTCCTGGAGGTGAGCATGGAAGAAGGCGACAAGGGAGCTAGAGATTTAGACAGGATCCAATTAACCTACCAGCATGTCTTTGGAGTGTGGGAGGAAACTGGGAGTATCCAGAGGAAACCCATGCAGGCACAGGGAAAACATGCAAACTCCAGGCAGGTGGTGCCGTGGTTTGGATTTGAACCAACGACCCTAGTACTGCCAGGTGGAAGTGCTAACCATTTAGATACTGTGCTGCCACCGGATTGCACCTAGAACCTTTGTATGCAGGGACAGGTTGATAGTTCAGCTGTTGATTTTGATGAGGTCAGGGGAAGGGGCATGCGGGGGAGGGAATATTATGACCTAGGTTTTGGATAAACTGACTTTCAGGAAGT